TAAAAGTGTCGCCAATTAAAAGGAAAAGTTAACTAGACTCTAACATTTTTTCCCCCTTGTAGAGTTTATCCCAAAGGGAAATAATTTGCCTTTAAACTTTCAAGGCTAACTTAATGGATTTTTCTTGCCTCAATAAGAATTGTGTGCATACTGAAAAGTAAACTCCTCAGCTTCACTTTTATAACTAAAATGCAGGTAAAAACCTTCATTTCCAATATAGGTCCCTTTAATTAGAAAATAGAAAAGTGAAGTAAGTAGAGTTGAATTAGACCTGGCAAGCTGATTAACTACATACTGCATGCTCAGACAAAAGATATTTTTTACTACTATTATTATGTGATAAAATGTTAACCAATTTTTGATGAAAGGCATGAGGAACTCTTTTCTAATTTAGTGATTTAATCCCTGATCCTCTACATGCAGATCAGGTTGCAGGACTGGGGCCATAATTCCAAAGAACTCTATTCAGACACACAGATTGGGAGAAAAGATACCGATTCATGGAAGCTCTGCAGCTCTCCAACATATTATTTTAATTATATAAATGGGACACGGATCAAGGAAATTTTACTGCTAATACAGCAGAATGCCCCCAGTGATTTATTTGCTTCTCCCTTCTGCCTCACCTTTCCTGAAAAATCTTGCACACGCCAATACCTCTCTTGCCTGTTCTTTCTGATGTTATTGGTGCAACTCCTCAGATCTATTGGACTTCAGATCCAAAACCCCCAGGTCAAGCAGAGGTTTAAAGAGGAGGAAAGGATCCAGCTGTATCAATTCAGCACCAGAGAGCAGTCCTAACATGACCTAGAATCAACAATAAAGCTTTACATATGTCAGTATGCCTCTGGGGTAAACAACACTGATAAGCAGCCCTGGCTGTTTGCAAAACCATGCCAGTGGAAGGAAATCTCCCCAAAGAAATCCTGTTATGCTGGTAAAAAAAACAAACAAGCAAACTAGCAAAAAGTCCATTTTTGCCAACAGAAACTGTGCTGATGCTCAGGTTTCTGTTGACATGGCAGTGTTTATCAGAGCTCACTGCCCCTGCACCTGCAGATCACCCCAGCTGGCACAGCTTTTCTTACACATTACTAACATAAGGCCAGCCTATATTGGCATAACTCTCTAATCCAGGCTTTCATCACCTATAGATGTAGCTATACATAAAACTGTTAGACCAGATCAGAGATAAAGGTCTGATATGCTGAGAGGAGAGCTGTACACTCAGAGCTCAGCCATCTCGGGCAGATGAAGGAATTGCTTGCGAGGGCACTGGAACAAACGCAAGCTGGAGCAGCTTAAAAGAGCTGTTCTAAGGTCCATAGAAGATGAGTTTCCACGAGTCTAGCTTCTGCAGTCTTAAAGTGTTATCACCTCCAGTCCTCTGCGCAGAGTCAGCAGAAGAGAATATGTCCTTGGGTCTCACGTGTTGCTGTTCACAGCCCAGAGCCATACCTCAAAACTGTACTTCATTAGCTTGTTAATACTTTAGGGTTTGCTTTCCAAATCTTAAAGAGATGCTTCCTCCATCTTCAGAGAGGGACCCATCAAAATTTACTTGTCAAAGACAGCAAGTTACACTCTGCAAGCACAACACAAAGCAGCTCTTAGGCACACAGCCTAGAGGTTATTCAAGCCCTCCTTTGAATCACTTTGTAATGCTTGCCGGCTAGGTCCACAATGCTTATTTTTCTGTTCTTCCTCAATGGACAGTTACTATCTTATCACATGAAGGACTAGGCCCAGCCTCAGCAAGCACAGGGCAAGAAGCAGGACTTCATCCAGTCTCTCTCTTGAAGCTCATTAAGATGGCTTTTAGGAAAAGTAAAATCCTCCCCTAACTCTGCATGCAAAGGAATAACTTCCAGCCACATCTTTATGACTGATACTCCCAATCCAAATTGGACACTTTTTCCTCCATATTAGAGTATCCAAATGGAAGTTGCTGTTCTTCAGCTTCACCTCTCCCCCCTTTTAAAAATCTGAATTAACTTTGAAGTGTAGGGTAGAAGTGGTATTAGTACGGCATAAGCATGACCCTCCCCTAACCAGCTGGATTCAGTAAACTCCTTCAGACTCAATAACCAGTACTCAAGGTCCTGACTATATTCAAGCTTGACTAATTGTTAACAGTCATTGAAAAATAATCAGCATATGGCAGGAACCTAGTAATTTCACTTTAAGTTTGATGATCTCAACACAATGCAGAAAGTGTGCATCATCTTAATTCTGCAATAGGGTTGTTTATTACAAGATAAACATGAAAAAAAAAATCACCCACACACTCAACATTGTCCCAAACCCAGATACAACAGAGAACCGTTGAAGGATAGTTAGCCTTCAGCAAGTGTCCAGAATAACACAGGACCCTAAAGGAGTTTCTCACTGTTCACAGAAGTAACACTGCCACCTAACAGGGAAAGCCAAAATACATATGCAGATCACCATCTCCAGGGAAACATTTTTCTGCCTGTCAACAACAGAAGATAGGGAAGATAACTGAAATCACATTTTTCTTCTGACTTGCCTCACTATTCAGTTATTATCCAGAGAATTCAGGTTGCAGAAGATCATTTTATGGAGACAATATCAAATTAAAATAAATGACAACAGATCACATGCATTATACAAGCTGCTGTATATTAGGAACTACTCCAGATACAGAGCATGACTGCAGACCTTAGATGTATAATTGTAAGACAGAATTTCACTTATCTTCCAAAAAAATGTTAATGGCCTTCACGGTCATAAACACTATCTAAAAAAAAAAATTTACATCCATAAATTAATATTCACCTCTGAAAAGGCATAAATAACAAACCTTGAAGATACAGATTGTCTTAGTGATCCGAGTCACCATACCTGCACCCTATTGCTTTGTGACCTGGAAATCCAACAAGTGTCCAAGTCAACACTTCAACATTTATATTAGAGACCCCAAAACTGCACTGCAGCCAATCATCTAGAATATTCCTTCATCACCTTGACCTGCTGAGATCACCCGTAAGAAGTTCTTAAGTCTGTTCCTGGGTGCAGAACTGGACAGTATCACATGTTCCTACTACTGCTTATAAATTTGAGAGAAGGCTAAACAGGGCTAAAACCAGGTTATACACTTTTGCTAACATCAATCGGAGTGATCCTTCACAAGCACAGGTAATAGCATCCCCCAGTGACATTGCAGTGAAAGTCTCCTCTTTTATTGTAAAGCACATTTCACGTGCATCAACTGCACGTGAATCTTTGCTCAGGTGCACCTTGGAGAAACTCCTTTTCACGCTGGTAGAACACTTCTACCACAAGTAGAGTTTGAGGCCAGACACGTGAGAAGGCTAAAGCACAAGCTAGCAGCTAGACTACCTACAAGACGCAACAGCTGACTGTAATCGCCTCCCTTTTTTGTGGGGCAAACCCAACTGGGAAAGGAACTTGCCTGTCAGAGCGCTGCTCCCTGCTGAATCAGTTCCTGGTATTGAGCTATGGGCGTATGCAGTGAAAAATCAAGTGGAAAAAACAATAATGATCTTTTTTGAATCTGGGCTATTATGCTTTATGCATCACTAAGACCTTCAGTACAAGCCAGAGCTGCGTTTGTGTTCGGGGAGGGGAAGAAAGCTTTTCCTGGAGCTTAGTTAGCACCAGTGCAGGATTCAGGAATGTCTACAGTAAAATTTTGACCTGTTGTGTCAGAGAGTAACAAGAAACTAGTAGGATAATAACGCACAGTTTAAAACTATATCCTCCCTGTCACAAAATTCATCAGCAACTTTAAAGAACACAAGAAAGTTTACAATTTCCTCTGTTCACGAATTCCTTTGGACAGCAACTCTGCTCATATGGAACCCAGGCAGTTCCTAGCACATTGTGATAAGTCATGAAGATCAGCAACAGTATATTCACAGACCATTACTGCATCTCGTTAAACACTGTTTGAATGGCAATTTCATACATCAGTAATACACCATGATATAGACTTTTCTCTAATCTTATCCCAGAGGCAACAAAAAGCAAGAGGTCTTCATGGAGTGCTAAAGGAATGGAGTAGGAAGGATGGGTTTCCTCCCATACCTTGTGGGAGAAGAGAAGTGAAACGGAAGAACTTTCTCTTGTAACCAGCACCACTCTCAGAAAAGCCCACACAGGGATACTGCTGTTTACCTAGTACTCTACCAAGAATTCCTACCCAGAAGGAGTGAGTTCACCATATAGGGTTACTAAGGCAATAAGTAAACAAAAAAACAACAAAAATAACGCTTTAGAGGATGGGGTCACACATGCAAAGGGGCACACAATGATCACGTAATTTAATTTACATGGAGCAAATTTTCAGCTTGTTTGCTAATTACTAAAACCGTACAACAATTAATTTCTATGCAGATATTTGGCATATGTTCTTAAGCTCTGTGTGCAATTACAAGGCTATAAAATAATCCCTTCTATTATTTTGGAGGAACCAGATGACCTTTTTTGTACTTAATGACCAATAACATGCTTGAAAAATTACCAAGGCAAGATACCAGATCAGACCAGCTGTGAACTGTGTTAGTATGAGAGCTCCAGCAGGCAGCCTTTATGGTCTTACTCAGCCACAACACTTCTCTCTCTGAAGAGAAAAGGAAGCAGCGGGAAAATGCTCCAACATGGCAGGCAGTAACAAGCGTATAGCACACTCACTTTGAATAAGTTACTGTTTAGAGAATTAGAGAAAGCAACTGATAGCCAAAAACTGCCCCTGGAAAACTTAATTTTTTGAAGAAAAAAAAAAAAACACCTCAAAGAGAATCATTAATATATTTACAAGAGAAGGAAAACGCATAACACAAAAGCAATCACTGATGACACTTTTTAATTTGATATGGCTAGACTTTGTCTTCAAAAAAAAAAAAAACTTGTAAAACCAACAGAGTAAGAGAGAACATGAAGACAGACAAGTTTCATATTTACAGTCATTCAAAAGCAATAGTGTAAAGGCATATCTCAAATAGCAGTGGCAGGAGTATGGAAACATACAAGGAATAATCTTTATTAGAACATTATTAGAATATTATATTAACTATTAAAAGAATCTGTTGCACTTTTGACAGCCTAAGCCACCTGATTCTAATTCACAGAATCTCCCTCAAAATGACTTTTGTGATACCTGCAGAAAAAAATAGACAAAAAAAAAGCCACTTTTTCCTCTTTGTAAGCAACAAAAACCCCTGCTTTTGTTTTTCTAGACATTATCAAAGTGGCATAACAGAGTTAACACTAATGCTCTACTCCTTGCTATTAAATTAAAAAAGTTGGGTAAAGGGAAAAAACAGACCAAGTTAGCGTAATCATTCGGTTGGATTCTGGATGACAATCAGGAAGTAGTCTTTATCTGGAAAGAGAAGAAAAGAAAGGTATTCTTTCTCTGCTGATAATTGTTCACCAAGAAAAACACATTTGCATTTAGCAACAGTAAACTTCAGCATTTTTCCATACCTCATTGATACACTTTGGAAACTGTAGAACCCTGACATTCACTCTCAATGAAGAGAACAGGTTTGATATGTCAGATCACTTATTTTTGAGTCTTACTGAGGAAAAAGTCACCATCTAAGAAACCGCATGCTTCCAAACCAATCAAATTTAATTCAGTTTGTGCCTTAGGATGTAGTCACAACTGGCACATGAAATGATCGAACCAAAATAGGTGGTGCAAAACGGTGATTTCCCTTATCTCACAGGCAGACTTCTGGGCTGAAATGGCTGCAGCTGCATTTGTTCTGGAGCAACAGTTATTCCTCCCTTTTCATCTCTCACATGGAGATCAGCATAAACCCCAAAGCCTTTCTTTCTCAATAACTGCCCTGTGGAGCAGTCTACTGGGACTGGAATCCCATCCTCTACCTCTCCATCAACCATGAATCTGATGTGGTATGAAGGAACAAAGCAAAATTATTGCCACATCAGTGAACTGTACTCATCCTATCACTCCTCATTTCATAATTTGATGAAACACAGAGGACGTTCCCTGAAGAGAAAGCTACTGCTGCTGTTATATTTTAAGACTCACGAGTACAGCTGCAATATGCTGTGTTCCCCTCCTGAGAATCTATTTGACTGTTTTGCATTACGCCACTTCGCCTAGAGCGCTGATCTAAAACCACTCTCAAAACATTAGCTTCTGACTCTTCTGGTTTTAGCTGAAAAACAAAACACAAAAGGCTGCAACACTCTCTCAAATGCTGTTTAATGTTTTCCACTTTGACCAAAAAGGAATGAGGAAAATGAACTCCCACATTCGAACATGAAGAAGCAAACTTAGGTCAATGATAAAAACGATTCAGCTGTAAAGAAAGTAAGACAGCTCAAATTCCTTAGAAAAGAAGAGTACCTAATACGAACAAAAGCAATACCCAGGACTCATTTCTTTCAGGCTCACACAATGCTTATGCCAAAAAATATGTAATGGGCAAGCGTGACAAATCTCATGAGAGAAGAATTCTACTAGATTCTCTGATGCCTCCTTTCAGCTCCACTCACTTTTACCTGGTGCAACCATGATTTCGTTTTTCTTGGAGCGGATCCGCAGGAATGTGAGGTCATTCTGGGGATCAATGTCTCGCACAGTACTCCTTGCCTTCATGATGAAACTGTGCATTAGGCCCGCATATTGAATCGTTGTGGAGTTGTCCATAGTACTTTTGATAGGAATACCTGCAAGAAGACACCGTGGAGACAGCAAGGGTCAGTGATGAAATACTGGAAACGATTCATCATCAGGTCCAACTGTGATGATGATTTAACCTAAGTAGATATTATAGCAACATCAGGGGAATGTGATTAGGAGCATCCTTTTTAAAGGCTTAACAGAAAAACATGAACAGAAACAAGACATGCAGAATTGCTTGCTTCTGATAGCATCAGTGTCTTACTCTTGCTCTCTGTTATTCATTTATTTATAAGATGCTTACTATATATGAACAAAAACAAAAAATGTTTTGGCAGAGCCTGGCAATACCTGTGTTTCAGTTTTGTTTTTCTAACTGGGATCAACTCTTCCTTTCAGAAAGGCTCCTGAATACAGTCAAGTAATTAAATGACAGTCAAGTAATTTGGGCTGGGATCAGCACTGCGCATAGAGGACACGAGCTGAGGCGCTCACATTTAGCCATAACAGTTGATGCAGTCCTGCAGGTCCCCTGGTTCAGTTCCTGTGCATCAGCCAAGAGGGCAGTTACACTGGCACTGTTTGGCCAGAGCTTTTCCTCCTTTATACTTCTGCCATCCATCAGATGCACTTTTCCCCCAAAAGCCAGCCAAAATTCAGTTTGTGTGAGCCAACAGTGCAGCAGCTTATTACCAAATATTGGCATGATTGAAAAAACGATGAAGGTATATGCTCAAATAAGTGACCTTCAGTCCGGAGAGCACAAACCGTTATATGTATATTCTGTAAAACTAACAAGCAGGAACACAAGCTGAATACGTTCACGTGAGCTAAGCACGCAGTGACCTAGTCTTCAATATATTCACATACCGTTGCTACCTATTTGTCATCTTTTTTAGGGAACGTTTCTAAGAAATATTCAATTTAAAATAATAATCATACCATTTTAAAAAGTTAGGCTGCCCACAGTACCGTTAGTGTATCTGGAGTACTCTGAACATGCCTGCCTGCACTGGACTCTACAGAGGCTTCAAGAAGAGACAACTAGCTCACAAGTCCCACGAGGCCATCAGCACGAGACAGCTGCTGAGCTACTCACCTCTGCCACGACAGCAGCATTCTGGACATGCACCTCAGCAAGATTTTAGATGTCATGAGAGCTTTTAGTGCTACCGATAAAAATGCAAAGACCTCAGAAAGGTGAGGCTTTGGTAGACCACAGTCTCAAACACTGGCAGAACTCAAGACACTTGCAAGCTTTTCCAATTAATTTCTTTAAATAACATAAGTAAGCTGGTAGAAAAACAGAACAGAGAACCCATCTTGCTCCTGTAGCCACTAACTATTGTCAACTTGCATTGGCTACCAGAAAACCTTTGCTAAGGAGAGACATTTAACCTAAATGTAAGTAGCACAATCCGTGGTCCTTAAAGTGCATGCTATGAATAAATTATACTTTAGAAAACTGAGACTGGCACAGTACCTTCAGAATTAACAACAATTATTCCTTGCACTCCCTTTTGGCTCTGAATTCGCTTCAGTGTTTCTTCCACCTCAGCCTGCAAAACAGCAAGTGCAAATCAATAGAAGATGAGGCAACGTGAGGCCTTGCAGGGACCATTTGACTTCAAATAATTCTTTGCAATAACGTATCTGAAAATAAAGCTGCACCAAGATGATTCAAACAGATACAACAGATACACCACCTTTCCAGAGAGCAAAGTACAGACATTTTTGGTACTACCATTTTAGCAAGCCCTTTTCAGTTGTTTCCCAGCTGTCTTCACTCATTTGTGAAGAGTGCATCACTCATTTGCGTCACTCATTTGTGATGCAAACTTGGACTCCCTTCTACTCTTTTCCCTCTCTCCTCTTCCCCAAACCCTCCTGCAACCTCATGCATCAGCTTCCTACCGTAGGCTTCCGGGCTTGTAACTGGAAGATTGCCTAGTCAGACTGCTACAGTTTAGCTGTCTTTCAAAAATTAGGTAGGAAAATACACATGGAATTTATGAACAAAATAGAAAAAGATAGTCTTACAGTCGGAATTTATCTTTCCTTTTATCAAAGGAATGCTAAGAGTAATTAAAAATAAGAAAAGTGAAGAAAAAAATGAACTATGCTCTTTCCTTATGATTATTGCTGGGAGAGCTACAAGATTATAAGCACTAACAATAAATAACTACTTCAAGGAATCAACTCACCAAAAAAAAAACCCAGAGTAAACAAAAAAAACACTACTGAAGTCCCAGCTAATTAGTCCATTTTCCAGGTCTGTAAAGTCACCAACAACGTCCTAAGAGCTTTCAAACCCTTCTGCAAAACTTTCATTGCTACAAGAGATCAGTCAAAATTTACCTAGAGGTACTCTTAACAGAGCCATAAATATGTCACCACAAAGCTTTATTCCACAGCTGAGTGAACCCCCTTCACGAGATGTTTGCTATTTTTGATTCCCTTTAGAAGAAACAGAGGCACACAGTATCTTTCAAAAACAAAACAAAGCCCCACAGAAAGGATCTAGAATAGAAGGGATTACCTAAACCCAGGGGGAAAAGCTAGATATATATGGTGCATTTGGCTAACACAGCTATGCTTGTTAGGCGTTGCGAATAACCCTCTTTCCGTCCCCACCAAACGATCACAGCCATGCTATAAGCCCCGTTCCCTGGGAAGAGGGCTCATCTCAACAAAAGAACCTGGTCTAAACCTCAGAACCATCAGCAGACTTTCTGCAGGACTTTGTCAACATAAGTAGCTTGGAGTAACACAAACCATTGCTACTGCGAGATGTTTCTGCCTGACTTTGCCTTTATGAAATAGAGCTTGTCTGTCCTTTCCAGCATGGAGAAATCAGAACTCAAGCATTTTGACAAGGCTTTTGATTATTTTTTAATGTTGAGCAAATTCCAAACGGAAGAAAAAGGAGCTGAAACAAAGAGCAAACTACTGAGTACACAAAAGCTGAGAAATAAATGGCGGTAGACTGTCAGGTCTGAAATAATTTCCTGACTTCCTATTTAAGTCCCAATTTATCAAATACTTTCCTTTATCAGACCTTAAAAAAACCCCGTTTGGACCCAAAAACGCAGCCATGCAGAATGATACCCAATTTTGATTTTAACAACCAGCAGATGGATAATCGAGTCTCATTCACAGGGCGGGGTGAACTGATCTAACAGCTCACTGCTCTTTAAACAGGAAAGTCCTCCTTCTCCTATTCTTACTCCCTGGCACGCACGAACCGCTTCAACACTAGCTCTGATGCTCCTCAGCCACCTCCATGACACAATTCAACTGACGAGACGAACAAAAACATTACCCGATAAAAAAAGTTAGGCTTTATCTTGCTAACCAAACAAGAACTCTCTTAACAGAGGGCTGAATGACTACAGGAGATAGCGCGTGCGGATGGAGAGAGGCACGCAGACAGCGAAAAGGAGCCTAAACGTCTTTCTGTCAGGAACTGGCTCTTACGTAAGCTCAGCTGCATGCAGAGCCGGCTGCACGCAGAGCCGTTGCCTTTATCCTTTCGGCTTCATCGGGAAAGCCTGAACCCCTCGGTTTTCCTACCGAACCGCCAGGCCTGGCGGACCACGTCAGTTTTTCCACCGACAGCACAGGCCAGTACTATTTTTTATATTTATTTTATTCAAGGAACTTTTCCAGCTATCGTGATCCCTGAGTTTACGAGCCTCTTTCATCTCAGAGCACCTCTGAAGCGCAAGCAGCC